GACGACGCTGGAACCTGCATTAAAAAGTCCACAGGCACTGTCTAAGTAACCGGTCCGTATTGATTCGGAAACATCCGGATGAAAGATGGCGTTAGGTTTAGGATCATCGACTCTCATGATTTTCTTGCAAACAGATGGTATATATATATCCACAGGTCCGTTAAATGACCACTAATAGAACTCTCTAAAAAACCAGTGTTGCAAAATCGGCACAAAAAAAAATACTGAACAATGGAAAATACAGAACAATCCAATTTTGTATACCGGTGCAAAGAAAATTACAAATTAATCAAATTTAATTTACCCGGAGATACGTTATAACGTTAATACACAAGATCATATGTCACATACTCGGAAGATTTCAGAATGAAATAAAATAAATACCCTGATGAAGGTAAATATAAACAATCAAATATTGTATACACGACGCGATGTAAATACAAAGTGATCGATTATATATCCGGAACAAGGAAAACGTATAAAAGCTATCTAATTTACCGTAGGTGGACTATGTTTTACTTATTTCTCTCCTTTTTTAATAAACACAGATAAGTATATATTGTTCTATAGGTTATCATATGGGCAGCATAATCATATTGACTCACAATGTCAATGTATAAAAATACACTCGTAGTATTTTTTACGACGGGCTAACATTCAGTGAAAATCTGGTTTTTATATTATTCAGGAACTTACAGTTGTAAGTTAAGGATTTCATTTTGCTACTGGTTTTTCAATGCATCCAACAGTAAATTGTTCTTACAAAAAGGGGAGAATTTAAAAAATCATCATTAAAAACATTCTTAGGTAGGTATGGTTTAAATCAACAACGGCCGAAAAATCAAAAGGTAATTCTGGTACGAAATGGAAACCGGATGTGATAGCGATTCAAGGAATTCCCCATAATATTATAGTTTACTATTTGTTAACATTGTTTGTTTACTGTTTGTTAACAGTGTTTGTTTAATGTTTGTTAACAGTGTTAGTTTCCTATTTGTTAACAGTGTTTGTTTACTGTTTGTTAACAGTGTTTGCTAAATGTTTGTTAACAGTGTTTGTTACCTGTTTGTTAACAGTGTTTTTTAACTGTTTGTTAACTGTGTTTGTTAACAGTGTTAGTTTCCTATTTGTCAACAGTGTTTGTTTACTGTTCGTTAACAGTGTTTGTTTATTGTTTGTTATCAGTGTTTGTTAACAGTGTTAGTTTACTGTTTGTTAACAGGGTTTGTTAACAGTGTTTGTTATCTGTTTGTTAACTGTGTTTGTTAACAGTTTTTGTTAACAGTGTTTGTTACCTGTTTGTTAACAGTGTTTCTTAACTGTTTGTTAACTGTGTTGTTTGTAAACAGTGTTTGTTTACAGTGTTTGTTAACTGTTTGTTAAGAGTGTTTGTTTACTGTTTGTGAACAGTGTTTGTTAACAGTTTTTGTTTACTGTTTGTTAACACTGTTTGCTAACTGTTTGTTAACAGTAGTGTTTGTTTAATGTTTGTTAACAGTGATAGTTTCCTATTTGTTAACAGTGTTTGTGTACTGTTTGTTAACAGTGTCTGTTTACTGTTTGTTAACAGTGTCTGTTTACTGTTTGTTAACACTGTTTGCTAACTGTTTGTTAACAGAGTGTTTGATCAGTGTTTGTTAACAGTGTGTGTTTACTGTTTGTTAACATTGTTTGTTAACAGTGTTTGCTAACAGTGTTTGTTTACTGATTGTTAACAGTGTTTGTTTTCTGTTTGTTAACAGTGTTTGCTTACTGTGTGTTAACAGTGTTTGGTAACATTGTTTGCTAACTGTTTGTTAACAGAGTGTTTGATCAGTGTTTGTTAACAGTGTTAGTTTCCTATTTGTCAACAGTGTTTGTTTACTGTATGTTAACAGTGTTTGTTTACTTTTTGTTAACAGTGTTTGTTTACTGTTTGTTAACAGTGTTTGTTTACTGTTTGTTAACAGGGTTTGTTTACTGTTTGTTGACAGTGTTTGTTTACTGTTTGTTAACAGTGTTTGCTAACTGTTTGTTAACAGTGTTTGGTAACAGTGTTTGCTAACTGTTTGTTAACAGTGTTTGTTAACAGTGTTTGTTTACTGTTTGTTAACAGTGTTTGTTTATTGTTTGTTAACAGTGTTTGTTTACTGTTTGTTAACAGTGTTTGTTAACAGTGTTTGTTTACTGTTTGTTAACAGTGTTTGTTTACTTTTTGTTAACAGTGTTTGTTTACTGTTTGTTAACAGTGTTTGTTAACAGTGTTTGTTAACTGTTTGTTAACAGTGTTTGTTAACTGTTTGTTAACAGTGTTTGTT